TTTGAGAGCAAGCTCGGTTAAGAGATTCGGCAAGAAGAAACATAGAACTGTTCCTATCCCTAAATCTGCGGATCCCGACCTCATCAACCAAAATGGTCATCAGGTGAGTGAAACCAGAAATATTTCATTTGTTTTGACATTCTTTTTTTGGTAGCTTAGTTTGGTCTAAGACGTTTTGGTTTCTGAATGATATTAGCATGCCATAGCTTATGTGGAAGGTGATAAGTACTACGGAGCTAAAGCGACTTTAAATGTGTGGGAGCCAAAGATACAGCACGTAAACGAATTCAGCTTGTCGCAGATATGGCTTTTGGGTGGTTCCTTTGGACAAGATCTTAACAGCATTGAAGCTGGTTGGCAGGTAAGATATTGTCATCATTTGGAGATGCTAAGATTACTTGTATGTGTAATTCTTTGCGTGATTGGGTGTTTTGGTTTGTGGTGCTTACAATAGGTGAGTCCGGATCTATATGGAGACAACAACACAAGACTCTTCACTTACTGGACTGTAAGATTTTCCAAAACTCCCACTGAATTGAATTATGTGTGGTATGTGCATAATATACAAACAATAATGTTTTATGTTGCTCAATCTTTCTTCTTGTAGAGTGATGCCTATCAAGCTACTGGTTGCTACAATCTTCTTTGCTCGGGTTTTATTCAAATCAACAGTGACATAGCAATGGGAGCAAGCATCTCACCAGTCTCTGGATATCGTAGTTCGCAGTACGATATCAGTATTCTAATCTGGAAGGTACTTATAGTTATGCCACAACTGAAATCTTTTGTTGGTCTAAATAAAAAACTGAATCCTTGAGGCTGAATGTGATGTGTTTAACTTGTCACAGGATCCAAAGGAGGGACATTGGTGGATGCAATTTGGGAATGGTTATGTTTTAGGGTACTGGCCATCGTTTCTCTTCTCTTACTTAACAGAGAGCGCATCGATGATTGAATGGGGAGGAGAAGTTGTGAACTCACAAGCTGATGGGCACCACTCTTGGACACAGATGGGAAGCGGTCACTTTCCAGAAGAAGGTTTCAGCAAAGCAAGTTACTTTCGGAACATTCAAGTCGTGGATGGATCCAACAACCTCAAAGCACCTAAAGGACTCGGGGTGTTCACTGAGAAATCTAATTGTTACGATGTTCAAACCGGAAACAATGATGATTGGGGACATTTCTTCTACTACGGTGGCCCCGGGAAGAACAAGAACTGCCCATAACTCAAGCATGTGTAGTGTGTTACTCAGCTTTATAACTCTTTCAGTCTTGTGAATTTCCTCCTTCTTGGGTAGTATTAGGCTGTAGTAAAAAACAATTAGTGATGATGTAGTGTGTGTGTGTAAGCTCTGTAGGTGATGGGAAGTTTTGAGATTTGTCTGGTTTTTAACTTTGTGCAAATGTGTTTGTAGAAGCACTCTCTCCATGTAAAGTAGATGTGGGAAAAAGAAGGTGTGGCTTAAGTTTCTTAAAAGCTCAGAGAAACTTAATCTTTTGTGTTCTGATAATGTTTCCCTCTTTGCTGGCTCATTCCTTCACTATGAATCTCTTTCTAATGCTTCTCATAGCTTATAATCCTCTTTGCTCTGCATAAGCACGTAGTTTCCGTTAAGTTAAACAACTGGTTTGGTTTTTTATTTGCAAAGTTTTGATCATTCTTCAACTTCATACTTCTTAACTCCTCTAGCTGTCTCTCTCCATTTGCAACACAAAATCTGACTTAGTGGTTCCGCTTAGACCACACTAGACTTACACGGCCTATAAGAAGAGATGAATGCAGGCAGACACGGAAGATTAAAGAAAGCCAACTTATTGAACTCACTTATAGAAAGATGACTCAAATTCCGAAATTCGTCCACTTATTAGGTTCCACACTTACAAATCTCGGGATTAATGGGTTTTAGTAAATTCCTATGAGAGCATTTTAGTTACAAAGCCCGATATTCTTGTTCAAATTATATCCCTTCTAAAGCTTTGTTGTCTATGATCCTAACCGGTAACTCTTCCTTAT